GTTTTAATAGTGGTACAACCCTGCAGGTCAAATTAGAAATATTAATCATTTTCTATTATAAGTAAAGTTATTCAAAAACAATTTATAAATTATACCATTATTATACCAGTGTTGAGGTAAAAGAGAAAAATAATAATTGCAAAAACTCTCTCAGGTTATGACGAGTATGGGTATGGGTTAAATTTTTATAGGGGTGTATGGAATATATTTAATTTTATTAAATTTATTTTTCATTTCATTTTAAATTTGAATATAGAAGGTGGTTATAAAAACAATTTCATTAATATATAATTAAATTTGTTTAGCCAGTTATAATAAAATTAATCTATTTTTCACATGCAATTTACAAGCTCATAACCAAAAACGAAATGCACTACACCACTGCCTATGTTTCAATTTAATTTGATATTTAGATATTTAGATTTAGATTTAATTTTTATATTATTAGAGGATAATATACACTGTAGAATGTAGTGGATATTGTGTCTATAATTAATTAGGCCATTATCATTTACCATACTAATGAAATATTAGTTGAGTTTTTTTTTCTAAACCATAATTGATTTACATGCATTATATTAAAACTGTACAATATTACATACTATAGGATTTTAAATATTTTTTCCAATTTTGAAAATAAGATAACTGCACTTCACCCATTCTCATAAAATTTTATGTATCTACATATTTGCATTTAGTACATTTTCTTTTATTGGAGACATAAGGATTACCTGAGCTTTAAGTATAAAAGTTCAAGAAAATAACGCAGCTATTTAAGCTTTTTTTCTTTTATTTACAAAATAATAAAACAGAAATTCTATGTGAGTTCACACTGTGGAGTGTGGAAGTAATGACAAACTACAACTTGGAAAAATTAAATAAATGGTTTGAGACTTAGATAAGATTAAAACAAAAAGGTGCGAATAAATGATTACAGAAAAGAAAAGTAATCATAAAATTTTTGTTATAAAAAAAAAATTTCGTATGTCAAAAAATCATGTTTTGAGTAATTCAAAATTAAAATGTATTTATTTTTTAAACAAAATTTATGGCATTTTCGAAAATTCAGTACTAACTTTTATTTTAATATTTAAGCATTTTCCATAAATGAAAACTACAAAATCTTCAAATGTAGTTTGTTCGATAAATCCCTACTATAAAGGAACACGTTCGGAAATAGTTACATACTTAAAGTTATAACCCATTTTCAAGAGCTTTGCTCTAAATGTTGCAAGAATTTAATTTTAAATTTCAAAAATATTACTTAGAAAAAGGTGAAATACTAATAATCTGAAATTACAAGCCCTTTCGTATCCGCAGCTCTGTTATGATGTAACAAAATATTATTTTATAGATTTAAGTTAGAAATTTAAGTGCATATCTGAAATTTAAGCGCATATCTAAATTCCTGTATTTTTTGCATATTTATAAATAATTTAGAAACTAAGTAGGATAGATACTTTGATAAAATTATGAAGAATTTAATATTTAAAAAAATCTCAAATTTGGCTTGGCAAATTAAAATTTAAAATTAAATTTGGAATTAATTTAAATAAAATATCAACATTTTATTGCAATGTAAATAAATTACAGATAATCGGAAATTAAATTAAATTTAAAGTTTTAAAATAAGAATTAGGATAGTTAGCAAAGAACAAGAAAATCTATTAAATGTGAAAATCTATGATATTTAAATAAAAGTGGAACGGAATTGGAATATTGATGGTCACCAAATGCTTGAACTTTAATTTATATTCTACAAGGTATGATAGTATCAGAGCAGGAAATTTTCAAAAACTAATAAAGGAGATAGGGAAGGGTTTCTGAAACTTCTTGAATAAACAACTACATAGTAATAAAAACTTTCAGTATTCAATTAAATAAATTTATTTAATAAATTCTATTTCACTACTTTACATAATAAGTCTATATAATATAATATTATGTATATATATATATATATATATAAAATGTTATTAATTCATTTTATTTATATAATAATTATTATTGTATGAAATATACCTAAATTTAATTAAATTTCAATAATACTTATAACATTTTATTCGAATGATTTATTTTTAACTGTCTATATTTATTTTTTTATTCTTTTGTTTTCGAAATTGTTTTTTTAATTTATAATAATGAAATATTATGTAATTATTAATTTTTTTTATTAAATAGCTATTTTCGAAATTTATTTTAAATTTTCAATTTTGTATACTTTTCTTTTTCGAATTGAAATTTAAAAATTTATTCATTATTTTTAATTGTAATTAACTAATTCGTATAACAAATTTAGTTTTGATTGATAAAATAATATTTTTGGTGTAAACACAGAAAATTAGTTTATTTTAGCAACTTCACGATTACTAAAACTTAATATCGTCAACTAAATATCGAATAGGTAATTTTTGAAATGCGTAACGTTATCTTTGACCATTTTACATTTTTTTTAAAAGAAGTCAGACCTAAAAATCGAGTTCTTTTTTAAATTAACAACTCAACCTAATCGTTTGAACTCAACCTAATCGTTTTAATATTATATGTACTTCTTTATGGCTCGTAATCGTAATTATTTAATTACTGAAATCAATTAATATTTTAAATTTCAATTGGAAAAATATTTAGTAATCAATTTAAATGTTTTTACATATTATTCATTTTTTTTTTCTAACTACTTTATTTTCGCTTATTTTTTTTTTCTAATTTCAATATAAAATTTCATTTCCAAAATACATACAAGTATATAAATGTTTATTGATACTATTTTCCATAATTTATTTTTTTAAATATAGACATTATCTAGAATTTTATTGTAATGATTTTATGTAAATATTTAATATTATTATATAAGTATATCTTATATTTTGAATTTTATAAGATGGTGTAACTTTTATTATTGTTATTTTAATAAAATCACTTAACTATTTTCATTTTTATTTTAAATTAATTATTTCAATTTATCAAATTATAATATTAAATTTAATTTAATATTTTGTTTTATGTGTGTTTTTGTATAAAATAATAAAAATAAATAATAACATTCTTATAATATAAAAGGAAACAAAGTATTGTGTGTTTTTCTTTAAAATAAAGTTTAAGATAAATTTTTTGAATTAATAATTCTTATATAATTATAGTAGTATTTATTTTTCTTCTAATATAATTAAAAATTCAATTTGTACATAAATTAATTATTAAAAATTATTATATATAAATTTATTATTATTTTATTAATATTCAAAATATTTTGTACAATCATAAAAATGTGCCATAATTAATTTTTTTTTTGTTATTTTTGTATATTTATAAATTAATATAAAATAATAAATGTTTGGAAATTAAAAAAAAAAATCTTGCTGTTAGTTAATGATATTTTCCAAATTTAATTAAAAGTTTTGATTTTCTTCAGTATAATAATAATTTTTCTGACAATTTTTGTATTGAAATTTATATTAAAACAGAAATTAAATTCGAGGATTTTTCAATTGATTTATAAAGAATATTTTTAATAAAGTTTGAAAAAAAGAAATTTATTTAAACAAATAATTTTATATGGGTAGATTAAATGAAAAAATTGAAATAAAACTTAAATAGTTATTGAATGCCAATTAATTATTAATTTATTAAATATCATTAAATTAATAAATAATATAAGATCTCTGCTAAATTAAGTTTAAAATAGCATTTCATTTTAAAATATTGTTATACTTTGAGTTTTATTTTTTTAAAATTGAATTTTAAGTGAATTTTTAAATTTTAAGTGAATAAATATATACAAATGAACCAGAACAGAAAATTAAATATAAAAAATTGTGCAAAATCATATTCAATTTAGTTAAGAATTCTAAAATTCTCGCAAATATTTCTGTAAATATTAAACTTGTACAAAATTTCATAAAATATTTAAAATGTACATAAGTGCTTTCAAGAATATATTAAAATAAAAAATAAATAGCAGATTTTAATACAAAATATCATTTGAGAAAAATGTTTTTAGTTAATTTTTTTGAAATTAATTTCCAGAATTGAAAAAAAAATATAATAATATTATAAAATATATTATCGTCGAGGGTCCTATTGAACTAGGCTAACACTCACTTTTTCTTAGTCCTACTAATTAAAAAATTTTGCAAATTTTCAGTTGCGACAAGAGAATTTTTTTGAAAAGTTTCTTTTACTTTTCTTTCAGTAAATGCAAAAGTAAAAGTGAAAATGTTTGGTGAACTACGGCCTAAATTTCGTAGTCGATACGGTAAGTTTAATATTTATGAATGAAATTTCGTGCTAATATCTTGCAATATTCTCTAAAATCTAAAAAAACATAATATTTAAATGAAATATTAAAAAATTTCTGTAGATTTTAAAAAAGTTTACAATATGTTTTGGTCTCACATGATTTTATAATAGTGTATTAATAGTTGTGTTATATTTTTAATTTATATAAAGAAAAAAATTTAGTAAATAATTTGTTTTGTGAATTCTTAATGCTATTGGCACAAAAAATACAATTTTATTTTTATTTTTTAAATTTATTTTTTATAAATATTGCATAAAAAACTTTATTATTTTTTTGTTTTTTTTTGTATTTTTTGAATTTTAATAAATTTTCTTGTATTATTAATAATTATTATGATTATATTTTGTTTAATAATGAAATCCGGTGTACATTAATATTTTTAATAATTTTCTTCTACTTATTGTTATTTGATTTCTTTTCTTGTTTGTAAAATTGAAAATCTATTGCCTTGTATTGTAAAATGTTTTTTTTATATAATTATTATTTCTAATATTTTTTTAAACATTATTTCTTTGTATATAACACTGTTGTATATAAAAAAAAAATGAAACAAAAAAATGGCAGTCAAAGTTAACTGTTTTGTATAATATTGTAAATATCAATAACATTTTCGATTTTTTTTTATTATTATTAATTTTTTTCAAAAAAATTAATTATAAATATTGCAAATTACGTTCGGGTTTTTTATTTTATTTTACGATTTTGTAACTTGTATTCCGTACAAATTATTTATATTTTTTTGTTTTACTTAATTTTATTTATTTATTTTTATTTTATCATTTAAACTAATTTATATTTATTTAAAAAAAAAAAATTGTAATTTTTCTAATTTATACATATCGTGTTATTTGGGTATAAAAATCAGATAAACATGCTTGTAATTGTGTAAATGTTGGCCTCTCTAATGGTGACATTGCCCAACAATACGCCATTATGTGGAATCTAAAATAAAAATATTTTCATTTAGTATTTTCCTTTAGGTCCTTAGGAATATTATACTTACAATTCATCAGGGCAATTATATGGTTGTGCTAAACGGTATCCATCATTTAAATAATGTTCCATTTCGAATGGATCTACTTCGGCATACGGTTGTTTTGCAAATGTTAAAATTTCCCACATTAAAACACCAAATGCCCATACATCACTAGCTTCTGTAAATACTTTCTTTTGAAGTGCTTCCAGAGCTAACCATTTTATTGGTCGATTTTCACTGTCACCCAAACAATTATAATCACCTGGAAATAGATCTCTTGATAATGAACTGTCTGCTAATTTAACTCGCAATTGATCATCAACCCTAAAATAGAAATCAAAAAATGTAAAATTAAAAAATTAATTATTTTAGAGTTTTGTAAATTTTCAAGAAAATCAAATTATGGTGATCACTTACACACAATTTCTTGTTGCGATATCTTTATGAACAACACCATGACTATGTAAATGTACTAAAGCGGTTGCCAATTGATTTGACATCATTACAATTTGAATTGAGGTTACAGAACGTGCACATGCCGGTTCTTGTAAAAATAATTTTAAATTTCTTGTATTATTTGGTGCTGGATATAAAACAAATGGTGTTGTATGATCTTCAATTGAAACACCAAGTACTGATAGAATACCATCATGGCTAGCACCATATAAACTCATACCCTCTTGTAATAATAATGATACTTGAACTTGACTAGCATGTTGTGCAACAGTTTTAACTAATACATCTTGTTGATCATTATATGTACCCTTATAGACACGACCATATGTACCTTCTTGTAATAAACTAGATAATCGAACACGACATCTTTGTACTGTTAATTCAGCTATTCTACGATGTAATTCTTCCGGTTCTTGATATTCCATTTTTTGACGTTGTAATGTTGAATGTGTTTGATGTATAATTGTTGATGATGTAATATATACTGATGGTGGAGCTGATGGTGGTTGTGTTTGTAATCTTTGAAAACTTGATGTACGCATTGGTTGTCCATGACTATTACGTTTTGTTGGTCCACGTGCACAATATGCAATTAATAATAATGATGCTACTAAAACTATAGCTAATATTCCACCAATTATTAATGTAATTAAACCACTTTGTGGTGGTGCAGCAGTTTCCATTAATAATGGATCATCAATATTATTATCATCTTGATCACCAGTCAAACATATTTTCTTTCTACGAAATTGTAATTGTGTAACATTATTTGTTGCTCGATTCAATGTAACTTCAATTAATAATGTAACTTCAACTTCAGCTGGTCTTATACCAGAACATTTCATTGATATTGAAAATGTTTGAATTTCAATTGGAATTTCACCAGCTCTTGAAATATTTAAAACTGGTCTTGGTAATACAGCTGGATCTGATGTTTGAATATTAATTGTATATGGTAATGGTCGGCCAGCTAAACTTTGCCATGTAAATGCTATTTCTTTAACATTTGCTGGTACCGGTACAACAAAATTTAATGCATAATCATTAATTTGACCATCACGAACATAATATAATTCAGCTGATACACCTGAAAGAAAGAAAAAATGGAAGTTATGATGAAAAAGTTCTTATAGATAAAAGTAGTTTTAAAATTCTCAAGAATGATTATTCAAATACAGATTTGAATTTAACAAAACATATGCTAGGGATTTCATTTATTATAATCGTATTCCTGTCAGGAAGTACAAAAAAGTAATTATTTTTATACATTAAAAATAAGAATATTTGAGTAGAAAGAATTGGGTCAAATTGTCAGACAAGACAACCATATCCGATTCACAGATAAGAGCTTGCTTCAAAGCGGATGTGAATAATAAGCGCCGTTTTACAAAGTATATAAATCGTGATGTAGACACCAGAAAAAAATGTTGTTAAAATTCAAATCTTAAAATTACAATAAAAATTTCAAGCAACCTACATTGTTAAAATTGAATTAGTTGGAATTTATTTGTTGAAATAAAATATTCATGAAAAGTAAGGAAGAAGAATAAGATCAAAATGTTGATAACACAAACTTGTTGATTTAATAAAATTGAATTTTGTTTTAAGTGTGTATTTTGAAAAAGTTCTTCAAAGAACGGGACACAAGGGTTAGACGTAACATTAATGAATCCTTGTTTTTATTTGGTCGAGTGTCCAAATACAAAGTTAATTTATTGGAGCATTAAATCTCGAATGAATTTCAACATTAATTTAAATATCGATAAAAATTGATCAAACAATTAATTAATTTATGATTTACTTTAAACTTACTAAAATGTAAGCACTATATTGTTTCGAATTCTTTACAACAAAATTTCCCTCTAAATATATTCGCTTTCCGTGCATTTTACAATGCAAATATTACGGTTTTCAATAAAAGTTGTATTCCAGGCAGATCTAATTCCATATTTTAACGTTCTTTCGTAAAGGTTGCGTTTCATATAGACATACTTCTACATTTTAAAGCTTTTTGTATAAATTTCGTTTCAATTATACGTACTACCATATTTTTCATGTAAATTGCGTTTCAGACAGACTCAGTTCCACACTTTACCAGTTTTCTATCAAAACTTACGTTCCAGACAGACTCACTTCTACATTTTACCAGTTTTCTATCAAAAATTACGTTCCAGACAGAGTCACTTCTATATTTTACCAGTTTTCTATTAAAAATTTCGTTCCAGACAGACTCACTTCCACACTTTACTGGTTTTGTATTAAAAATTCCGTTGCAGACAGAGTCACTTCTATATTTACCAGTTTTCTATTAAAAATTTCGTTCCAGACAGAGTCACTTCTATATTTTACCAGTTTTCTATTAAAAATTTCGCTTCAGACCGACTCACTTCCATATTTTGAGATGATTTTCGTATATAAAATCTGTTTCTTACAGACTAGACTCACTTAAGGAATGAATTATTATTTTGAACAACAGTTTAGTTTGTTAATTCACTCTAATTACCAAAAGCCTATATATAGTAATAATTATTTTGTAAAAAATATTTTTAAATACTCAGTTTTCTTTAAAATCTAATTAAAAAAAAAAATAATTTCATTAATAACTTTTTAACCTAGATTCACAATTCAAAATTACAATAAATATTTTTTTTTTAAATTAGAAACCTTTTAAATTTTCATTCATTTATAGTAATAATAAAAAAACAAAAACAATTCAAAAACAATATTGTAAAACTTCTTATGTGGGACATTGGACGGATACAATTTATTTATTTACTCTTATCCATCTCATTAAAATAAGCAATGAAAATAATAATAACAAAAAAAAAAACAGAAAAAAAATGATTTAAAAAAAAAATTATTTTTTTTTTTTATTTCCATTCATTCACAGGACCTCCGTCTATACTAAAAAAAATTTTTTTTTTTTCTTTTACATTTTATTATCCTTTGTCTCGACACTGATTCTATGATATGATTGTGATCAGTAGATTCCATTTTTTTGTTTTTTTAATTTTAATCAGTGCGAATATTCTGTGATTTCAGAACTTAAATAAATAAAATAGTATTAAGAGATAATAATAACAACCTAAGGATATTCTAGAGTTTTAATGCAAAAAAAAAAAAAATAAAAATAAAAAAATTCAAAGAATTTAATTCTTTTGTTTTCAAGGCTTGTTTTTCCTCTTCAAAACGAGATTTTATGAATCCTTTTTGAGATACAGAAATAAAAAAAATGTGTAGTAAATCTAAAATAATTTCCCGTTTTTAGTTTTTTTAAATTTGTAATGAGAAAAATCTGTGTAATAAAAATAATTTTCATGAGTAGTAATAAAAAAATTCAATTGCAGTTAATTATAAGGATGGAACAATTTTTATTTTTAATATTTTTAATTGATTCTTTCTGCAGGTTCTTTGAACGTATACTATTAATGTAAACAATATACAACATAACATTATACAACATGAGATTTTGTAAAAATTGTAAAATTATCCTTTTTTCATTTGAATGTAAAATTATATTGCTCTTATTGGAAAAAATTAATATGTAAATTTAATAGTAATTGTATAAATTAGGTGAAATTTATACTGTTTCATTGAATAGATTACAACGGAGAGATGATATAAAAGATTTCTACATTGTGCTCTTTTGTGTGCTGTATGCTATGGATGTGCTCTTCTCAACAGAGTTAATCAATGAAAAATTTACGCTCTTGTTCACAATAGAGCGTTTATAGAATTGCTTATAATAGAGAAGCGTGAACTTGTAGGAGAACTTAATAGAACAAATTGTGGGAATGCAAATTATATTATAGAGATTGCGTAGTGTATAACATGTAAAAAAAAAAAATAAAAGCTATAGAATTTTGCTCCCCATTCCTTATATCGCCTATCGGATAAATATTCCCCACTACCAAAATTAATTTGACATCATAAACGTAACAATAAATTCATCACAAATATTATTTTTTTTGGTTTTAAATTTATATTGAAATTAAAATAAAAATACATTTGTTCGAAAATTGTCCTATTTGGTCAAATTGAGTACAAAAAGTAATTAAGGAGCAGAAAAAAAATGATACTGAAATAAATTTTTCTCTCATTTCTTTATTATATAAGGAACCTTAATGTTTTTTTATATCAAATAAGTGCAAAAGGACTTCAAAGGAAATATTTCCGTTTTACATGACTTACTCTTAATTTAAACAAGGATAAGAAGACAAACGAAGAACAAAAAAAAAAACAGAAACATTTTTGTTAAATTTTCTGAATTAAAAAAAAAAGAGAGAATTGCAATGCAATTGCTTTTTTTATTTCTCTTCTGTCTATTTACTTTACTGGCCTGGCAGTCGTATTTCTCCCTTTTCGTTACTCTCCCAATCAATTTTTTTTTTTTGTTTTGTTAGTCTCTATGTATAATTTCTCTTTGATGTCATTTACTTTACACACTTCAATTCAATTTTACAACACTTTAATGCTCAACCGAGAGTATACAAAAAGTCAAAACTTTGTAAAGGGTATTTTTGTTTTTTTTTATATATATATAATAAGTTGAAATGTTTGCGTTAAAAGTGTTGTTGTATAATCATGTTTCCTTATAACACTCTTTTAGCAAAATCAAAAACGAAAAAAATAATAACAATTCCGTACTTATACAAGGATAAAGGGCAAAAAATTCTAATTACCCTAGGTATAAAATTTTCCCCTGTTTTTCCCTTTAATGTTATATTTTTTACATGAATTTCTTCAAAGGTGATTAATAAAGTTAAATCTATACTTTTAGTAGAGTTTTTGGGGAGAGAAGATAGGAGGAATAAATATTTATAATTAAAGTAATGGATTCAATTTTAATTTTTATTTCATGATTATTTAAAAAAGTGAATCATGTGATTGAATTTTATGGAGACTTTGAATAACATCTTGACATTGCATGAGTATGACATATTTAAAAACTTGCAATTTCACCTTGAAATGAGAATTATTAAGGGTTTTTTCTGACAACAATAGCAAGTACAAGTATGCTCATTTACAAGCGATCGTGAAATTTTCAATAGCATATATGATGAACTTTAAAATTAATTTGAATAGAGTTGAATATAAAGAATGATGTGAAGTATCAAATAGGACGGTGAAGGAATAAGCATTTTGCAATATTCGGAAAATGGTATGAAATTGTATGATAGCATACATGCATTATTTTATGACATATGTATGTATGAAAATTTACGATAAAAAGCTATTTTTCCTTTTATAATCATATAATGGCTTTCTTTGCATTGCTTGTTGTATTTTAGCTTTTTCATTGATTTGCACGTTTTGTTGGCCTGTACAGTTTGCCTTCAATGGAATTGCTTCTATTCTCTTTCATGTTGCTTGATACATTTCAGTGATCCTGATATGTATCGCTATATTTTAAAATATTATAAGGATCAAGTTAAAAAAAAAAAACACATTATATTAAGAAAAAGTCGATGCTTTGGCATGACTAGAATACTATAGGAATAAAAAATTCGTTATACCTAATATAAGTGAAAGTGTTCGGTCCAAATAAAAGTCCAAATGATTTCTTCTGTAATTTTTTCTATAACATAAGATTTTCACTCATATAAATGGATAACTGGCAAATAGAAATTGTAAATTGTTTTTATATAGAACGGCCTCTAGAATTTCGCGAATCACATTTTCAAAAAAAAAAAGTTAATTTTTAAAATTTTGCCGTTTAGAGCATTATTCGCCCACCGGACTGCTTTATTATAACATAATTAGAGAGTTCATATTCAAGACATACTCTTAATATAACAAAAAAAAAATTTAGTGCTGAAAGTTGATCTATAATATTCTAAAATTAAACTACAACGTCTCAAAAACAATAATTTTCATTCAATATACATTTTCTTTAAATATAATTGAATTTATTATTGAACAATCAACAAGTCAATACGAAAATCGCAAAATAGAAAAAAGTAGAAAAAGACACAAAATTTCTCCTTAAGGCAATATCTAATTTTCTTTTTTTTGTTCCTATTTTATTTTTCTGATTATTGTTAATAATAAACTACCAATCATTTTGACAAATATCCTGAAGAAGTC